CAGGTGATCTGCCCGCCTCGGCCTCCCAAAGTGCTGGGATTACAGGTGTGAACCACCACGCCTGGCCAACTTAAAGAATCTTAACACAAAAACTGGTACAAGAAATAGCATCTTAAGTGAAAGACCTTCAGACAAAATACAGAGAAAGTTAAGCAGCAAGGAGATCTTTGAGGACTTCCCCAGCCCATAGAAATTGTTTGGCAGTTCTTGAGATTAGAATAGGAAGAACAGGTTTGAAGAAGTGGGAATAAGTTCAGTTTTGGACATATTACAACACAGTGAAACCCCCATCTCTACAAAAAATTTAAAAATTAGCCAAGTGTGGTGGTATGCACCTGCAGTCCGCACTACTTAAGGGCCTGAGGCAGGAGGATCACTTGAGCCTAGAAGATCAAAGCTGCAGTGAGCTATGATTGCACCACTGCACTCCAGCCTGGGTGAAAGAGCAAGACCCTGTCTCAAAAACCAAACCAAACCAAACAAACAACAACCAGAAAACAGGGGAGGAGACAAAATTACTATCTTCACGGAAGTTTTATTATTTGATCATATGAGGAACTAGTTAGGATGGACAGGGATTTCTGTTTTGTTCATTCACTGATATATCCCAAGTGTCTAGAACAATGTTTGGAACATACAAACTCAACAAATTTGTTGAATAAACTTCCACTCCTGTAGGATTAAAGCCAGACTGTTTTCACTGAAGAAAGAGTTAAAGAATAAAATGCAGAATGCACAGACCACAGATCAGCTATAGAAAGTCAGGAGGGGGCCGAGCACAGTAGCTCACACCTGTAATCCCAGCACTTTGGGAGGCCAAGGAGGGGTGGATTACTTGAGGCCAGGAGGTCAAGACCAGCCTGGCCAACATGGCAAAAACCTGTCTCTACTAAAAATACAAAAATTAGCGAGGCGTGGTGGCGTGCGACTGTAGTCTCAGTTACTTGGGAGGCTGAGGCACGAGAATCGCTTAAACCCAGGAGGCAGAGGTTGCAATGAGCAGAGATTGTGCCACTACACTCCAGCTTGGGCGACAGAGTGATACTCCATCTGCCCACAGCCCAGTTCAGTGTTTTTAAATATATTGTTGAACTATTCAAGACTATTGAATTCCAGAACATTTCCATCACCTGCCAAAGAAACCCTATACCTATCATCTATCAGTCTCAATTCCTCCCTGCCCAACCCCCAAGAAACCACTAATCTACTTTCTGTCTTCATAGATTTGTTTATTCTGGACATTCAACTCATTTGCCTTCTCCCCATCTTGGCCTTTTTGCCAGACACACTCTTAGGTGAGGACTTTATAATTACCTCCTTATTATCCCTTTTCATCTCCTCCCCATTTGGGTAGCAGCCCTTACTTCAGGTTGGGTGTTATTGACCTTACCTCCAGTTCAGAAGAAAGCCTTAATTAGTGATTCCATCACATTCACCCTACCTCAAAAATTCGTTCGAATTACCTCAACAATTGTTACGAATTACCTCAACAATTCGTAAGCATATGACCTAACTTCTTGGTCCAATCAGTGGTGGTCAGGATGTGTCTGTAGAGGAGTGGAGATTGACTTACATACAGTTAATGCCCAAATTTTAAGTGTAAAGTTTGTTGAATTTTTACATCTATATATACCTGTGTGACAACCATGCAGATCAAGATATGGAACATATCTACAGCACTCCAGAGGCTTCATGCTTCCTCCCCATCAGTATCTTCACTCCAAGAATAACCATGATTGTGACCCAAAGCTCAAACATTTTGTTCATTGACTGAGAAAAGAGTCACTGGCTCTCTTCCCCTGGATATGGGTAAATAGGTATGCAAGCCTAGGCGCTTCAGAAAATTATCTGGCTACCCAAGTGAAGCCAGTCTGAGAATAACAAGAACACATGGAGGAGAGCACAGATAGCAAAATTCCAGAGAAACAAAACCACAGATCTAACAACAGTGAATTTTTACATTAAATCAATCCTGAAGCTATACTACCTATGAACTTCCCAGTCTCCAGTAAGCTATTTTGTTGTTTAAATGGCTTCAACTGATTTTTTTCTCAACTCAGAATTTTTAACCTGAGTTAGAACCTTAGTTCTACCTCTTACTTGGTATATGCTCTTGGGCAAGTAACTTAACTTACTTAATTTCTTTAGGCCTTAGTTTTCTGATCTCTAAAAACAGGAGGCTATCTTCCATATAAGATTATTCTATGAAATATACATACTCTATATACAGTATATATATACTAAATATACAAATATCCTCATACATGTTAAACACTCAATAAGTGATACAATTTTTAATCATAAACATGTCTAAAGACTTAAGTCTTCTAACAATGGAATGGGATCCCTTCTAGATAATAAATCCCAAATAACTAGAAACACTAAGCATTACCTGGATAATCCTCCTTTCAGTGATGTTCTAAAAGGTGTTCCTGCTTTGATGGGAGATAGATTAACTCTAAAATCCCTTCTAACACTAAAAACCTGTACAACACTTACTGATTTACACTGCCTGCGCAATGGCAAAATGAAATAAAGAGACTTATGGTCCAGTAACAGGTAAAAATAATATCCAATTAAAGTTAATGGTTCACAAGAGAAGCAACATGAGTAGAACAGGCAATGGAAACAATACTTCTCAATTAGTTATACTAACAGCTCTGAAGATCTCCTTACTCCAGAGAGGCCTTTACCTATGCATCAGGGAGGGAGAGGGTAAAATTAGGACTCTAATCAGGCAGCAGAGGTTGCAGGAAGGGTGGAAGCTATAATGACAAAGTCAAGAAATGAGTCGGATTCAGGAGCTGTGGAAAGGGTAGAAAGCTAAGGAGCACAGTCTCCACTGGCATCTGAGCTAACTTGTTTTGTTCTTTTTTAGAGACAGGGTCTTGCTATGTTGCCAAGGCTGGAATGCAGTGGTATGATCCTACTTTGCTGCAGCCTCAACCTCCTGGCCTCAAACAATCCTGCCTCAGCTCATAGCTGGGACTAGAGGCACACATCACCACACTCAGCTTGAACTAACTCTTTTTCTTGACCTTATGCCTTTCAATATGCCTTATCTTACTGAGCAGCTATCAGCAGTATTTATTAGACACTTATACTTTTATTTATTTATGTATTTTGAGACAGAGTCTCACTCTGTTGCTTAGGCTAGAGTGCAGTGGTGTGATCTTGGCTCACTGCAACCTCTGACTCCCAGCTTCAAGTGATTCTCCTGCCTCACACTCCCGAGTAGCTGGGATTACAGGCATCCGCCACCACACCCAGCTAATTTTTTTTTTTGTAATTTTAGTAGAGACGGGGTTTCACCATGCCTGGCCTAGACACTTATACTTTTTAATTTTAATGAACAGACGTTGTTCTATCTGAACAGACATTTATATTTTCAATTCTCTATTTTCAACAATTCCCTTCATTATCTTTTGCTGGGCCCAAGGATATTGAAGCCATCCATTGCTTTACTTGTCTTCCAAGTTCATCAGTGCCTGCACTGCAAAGGAAACAGATTGTCAGGCTGGAGAACTAAGAATATTCTACATATGTAAATGTTTGGCGAAGACCTTGCTTTTCTGGGTTCTAGGTTCCCACAAGTCTTTACTAATCTTTAAATTAAGCTTTATGATTCTGTGTACTCTTTGCCATAGACAAGTTTATCAGGATTAAAGAAACCACCTTGCTGCATTTTCCTCCTTTTCACCCTGTCCTCCCTAGAGAATAAGTGGGAAGGCAGGGCTAAGAAGGACTAGCAGGAACAGGATTAAATTTAGGCGACGTTTTGAAGTAAGCAAAGCCTGTCTTTCACATCTTGCCCTAAATTCCGTGTTCCAATGTTATAAATTCCTCATTGCCCACCTGTGCCCACCACACACAAACACACAGTCCTTCTCTCTAATTTCTTATTTTCACACTGAGTTGATTTCAACTAGGTATGAGGGGAAAACCCAGATAACACATATTAAATTATAAAAATCCGCCCCTAACTCTTCTGTTTTAGCTTTGTTATGAGATGGAGTGTCGTTCTGTTGCCAGGCTGGAGTTCACTGGCGTGATCTCCGCTCACCGCAACCTCTGCCTCCCAGGTTCAAGCAATTCTCCTGCCTCAGCCTCCGGAGTAGCTGGGACTACAGGCATGTGCCACCATGCCCAGCTGCTTTATTGTATTTTAGTAGAGACAGGGTCTTACCATGTTGGCCAGGATGATCCTGATCTCCTGAACTCGTGATCTGCCCACCTCAACCTCCCAAAGTGCTAGGATTACAGGTGTGAGCCACCATGCCCAGCCTTTTTTTTTTTTTTTTGCTTTTAGAGGGAAACTGTATTAATCCCAATTAGTCATGAAGTAATGAAATTTAGGAAAAATAACTTTGAAAAGATAGTGCTCAGTTTACATCAGACTCTACTATTTAAATCACGTATTTGTCTTTATAGAGGCTGACACTAGAAGGGGCAGATACAAACAGAAGTTTAGAATTCATAAACTTCTTTTTTTTTTTTTTTTTTTTTTAGAATTCATAAACTTCTTTAGGGAGTTAGGACAGTGAGCATTTGTGGGCCTCCTGCTCATTGTCTGATCGTCTGATCCCCCATAGCTCTCCAGATTGAGCCTTAGGCCCTGCTGCTCAAGTCTGAAATGCAATCTTCAGAGACAACAAATGTGCAGAAACCGGTGGGCTGCCCAAATCAAGCAAGAGCCTACCTTGTCCTAATTCCCAACAACTGGGATTAGACTTTCTCTTCTTGGGAAATAAGCTCTCATACCTTATAGGATTTGGGCGTCCCGTGCTACAGAAGCAGAGTTTCTAGGTTCTCTCTCAGTTAGGGAAGAGTGGGACACATGCCCAGAATGTGACAAACCAAACCAAGAATTTGCCTATTTTAGGTATAGGCAGAAATTTAGAAGCTGAGATGCCAGAATAGCAGACACCCTCCTCCTCCTCCACAGTTATAAACGCTATATATATATTCCCATGGTCCCCATGACTGCCCTAACTCCATACCTGCAAACTCTTGTAACTTCTTACGCTCCTCTAGGTTATACTGAAGCTTTTCTAGCAACTCAAAATATCGGAAGAGTGAGTCTCTGGGCCAAACACGGTCATCCTGTTCCATTTCCATTAGCCCGGGCAGATTTTCATGCACAAGAGTCTCCCAGTCCAAATGACCTGTTGGGAGGAATGCTTCAGAAAAGCATGGCTAGGTTTGTAAAAGTTGGGTAAAAGCTGGTAAATCCTATGGTGTGGGTGGAAAGGTGGGGTGGGAAGAGGTAACAGGAAACAAGCAGGGAAAGGGTGCATCAGCAAGAAATCACTTTTTACAGTGAGCAAAGAGGGCCACAGCCACATTTACCCAAAGTGAAGAAGGAGGACAGGGGAAATTAGAAGCAAAAAGAAAGTCATTAAGACCAGAAAATTGGAAAGGAGATACAGTAGGAGAGCTCTTGTTAAGAGTAAGATGTCTTATAGAGTAGTCTGAATTCAAATGGAAAAAACTCATTATTATAGTTCTTTGGCTCACCAATAGATTCAGAAAATCTGGATTCAGAAGAGGAAGAATAGGAAGAGGATGTGGAGGAAACAGAGGAGGAAGATTGGTACTCTCTCTTTTTTGACAAGGTCTCTTCTGTTTTTGATGCAGATGTTTTTAAATCCTCTTCAGTGGCACCATAATTAGACTCTACTTCAGATACTTCTGATAAGTCCAAACTTTCCCTTTGTTGACCAGCTCCTCTTGTACTGAAAGGAGAAAATCATGACTTCACAAACATTTACAAGACATGACTAGTCCACTCATTATTCTGGTTCTGGCCCTGGCCACCCCCTAAAGCTGGGGCATAAGACAATGAGAGCCAAAATACTCCCAAACTCTACACTCAGGCACTTCCAAACTCAATCATTCATGTATCATCCTTAACTCTTCTCTTCCCTACCATATCCAGTCCATCAAGTAATCCTGCTGACTCTATACCTTCGAAATAAATCTTTTATCACTAACTCACTGCTACCACTCTGGCCTAAGCTGTCATCATTTCTTGCCTGGGCAGCAGCATAGCCTCCCAACTGATCTCTCTGCTCCTTCCCTTGTTCTTCTACCAACACAGCAAGTAATCCTTCTTAAATGTAAGTCACCTCATGTCACTCCTCTGTTCTGCTTTCCATTTCAAAGTCCCTACAATGGCACCCCTAACCCTACAGGATCATGTCACCATTATCTCTCTGACTTCATTTCCCAGCACTCTTCCCCCTGCTCACTCTACTCCATTCACAATGGCCTCCTTGCTGTTTCTCAAACACACCAAGCATGCTTCCAGTTTAGGACCTTTGCACTAGCTGTTTCATCTGCCTATTAACACCCTTCTTATAGATACCCACATGGTGATCCCCTTACCTCCTTCAAGTCTTTGCTCACATTACCTTTTCAATGAGGTCACCCTGACTACCCTGTTTAAAACTATAACCCATCTGTGGCTGGGCACGGGGCTCACGCCTGTAATCCTAACACTTTGGGAGGCTGAGGCGGATGGAGTGCCTGAGCTCAGGAGTTTGAGACCAGCCTGGGCAATATGGTGAAACCTCGTCTCTATGGGAAAAAAAAAAAAAAAAAAAATTAGCCGGGTGTGGTGGCAGGCACCTGTAGTCTCAACTACTTAGGAGGCTGAGGCAGGAGAATCACCTGAACTCAGAGGCAGAGGCTGCAGTGAGCCGATATCGTGCCACTGCACTCCAGCCTGGTAACAGAGCAAGACTCTGTCTCAAAAAAAAAATAAATAAATAAAACTACAACACCTTCTACTCCCAATCTCCCTTAACCTGTTCTACTTTTAATTTTCCCATAATGCTTATCATATTTTAACAGATTAATTTACTTAATATGTTCACTGCTTATTATCTCTTTATCACTACTAATAATAAGCTCCATGAAGCAGGCATTATTGTCTATTTTGTTCACTGATACATCCCAAGCACCTACTAAGTATTCAATAATTATTTGTTCTTTATTGTTTTTTGTTTGTTTTTTTGAGACAGGGTCTTGCTCTGTCACCCAGGCTGCAGAGCAGTGGCACAATCACGGCTCACCACAGCCTCAGCCTCCCAGGCTCAAGTGATCCTCCTACCTCAGCCTCCTAAGTAGCTGGGACCACAGAAGCATACCACCACATCCAGCTAATTTTTGTTTGTAGAAGCAGAATTTTGCCATATTACCTAGGTTAGTCTTGAACTCCTGAGCTCAAGTGATCTGACCACCTCAGTTTTCCAAAATGCTGGTATTACAGGCATGAGCCACTGCACCCACCCTGCTAAATTTTTGAGATGGGATCTTGCTCTGTTGCCCATGCTGGACTACAGTGGTGCAATCATGTCTCAATGCAGCCTTGAACTTCTGGCTTGAACTTCAAGCAATCCTCTTGCCTTGGCCTCTCACAGTGTTGGGATTACAAGTATAAGCCACCACATCTAGCCAGTAATTATTTGTTAATGAGTGAATGAGTTCATTTCTGCTTCTGCTTTGTTTGTCCACTGCTAAACACTTGGGGTCTAGATTCATATTTGTTTCATTGAAGGTATCTGTACTAGTGTCCTGAGGCTGCCATAACAAATTACTATAAACTTGGTATCTTAAAATGACAGAAATACAGTCCCTCACAATTCTAGAGGCCAGAGTCTGAAATGAAGGTGTTGGCAGGGCCATACACCCTCTGGAGACTTTAGGGGAGAAGTTCCTTGCCTCTTTTACCTTCTAGCAGCTGCCTGGCATTCCTCAGCCTCCCTTGGCTTGTGGTGGCTTTAGCCCCAACCTCTATCTCCATCTTCACATAGCCTTCTCCTATTCTCTGTGTCTTCTCCTCTTTCATCTCTTATAAGTACCCTTGCCATTGGATTTAGGACCTACCCGGATAATCTAGGATGATCTCATCTCAAGATCCTTAACTTAGGATCTTTTTTTTTCCAAATAAGGTCACATTCACAGGTTTCAGGGAGTAAGGACATGGACATATTATTTTGGGTGCCACTAGTCAACCTACTACAATATGCAGTTATTAAATGAATGAATTCTCTCTCAAAGCCAATCTTCATCTTTAGTTTTCCACCCTCTCCTCCTTCACGTGTTTCTATCCCAGTTCACATACATACTCCTAACCTGTCATCTATTTTGCTATGGCTTGACTTCAGTGCCTCCTGTGACACGTTTTTTCTCCTGCAAAGCAGAAAAAAAAAAAAAAAAAAAGAGCGAAGACAGTTACATTCAAGTAAAAGTGTGGTAAGAAGAAAAGAGTTCATATCAGAAAGTGAAGAAAACTAACTGGGGAGAACAAATTGTAGTCAAGGGGTGAAAATAAATGGAGGGCTCCCCACAGTGGATGAAAAATCAGGCAATATTGTAGAGCCAGAGAATTCTTATCCTTGAGGGCAAATCTTCTGTCACAAAGGGAAAAGTGGGGTCAAGGAGCAGAAACAAGAAATGAGCTCAGGAAACCCTTGAGAAGGAAAGTTGGGGTTGAAAAGGGAGAAGCAGACCTCTGGATGATCTGCCGCTTGAACATGTCAGCTTTCAGCTGAACCTCCTGACGTGCCATCTCCTCATTCATCTCTTTCCTGATATTCTGAAAGTTAGTAACTGCCCCAAAGGGCCATTAGGAGTTGGGAGATGGTAATGACTAGACCTGGGAAGAGGGCTTGGGTGGGGAGAATCCAAGTGAAATATCCCATCCAGAACCCAAGCCTTCCTGCTACACTAGGTTCTTTATACCCATAAGCCACCAATCCCCGCTTTCAGACTAATTTCTTCCCAACCACCCTTCCCAAACAAGTTTCACCTCCTCTATGCTTACCCATCATGGCTACTATGATACTCCGAAAGATAATGGAGCCAAGCAACAACCAAAGGATGAAATAGATGCTGCTGAAGATGCGACTGACTTCACGCACCTTCCAGACATCCTGAAGCAGTGCATACCAATGATCCAAGGTGAAGAGAATGAACACTGTTACCAGGGAATTCGGGAGGTCCCTAAAGAAAAAGGCATGTGAATAAACAGAAACAGAGACCTAAACCTTTCAAAAATGATACCATTCTTACTTTTAAAGAAACATAAACATTTCTTTGTAGTTTGTTCTGATTTTGGTTCCTTTTCTACCATACTCAGTTTTTAGCTAATCATTCTTCAGTTTGAAGTTTTTTTTTTTTTTTTTTACACGGAGTCACACTCTGTTGCCCAGGCTGGAGTGCAGTGGCACAATCTAGGGTCACTGCAACCTCCATCTCCTGGGTTCAAGAGTCTCCTGTCTCAGCCTCCCGAGTAGCTGGGATTACAGGCATGTACCACCATGCCCGGCTAATTTGTGTATTTTTAGTAGAGATGGGGTTTTGCCATGTTGGCCAGGCTGGTGGCGAACTCCTGACCTAAGGTGATCCGCCAGTCTCAGCCTCCCAAAGTACAGGATTACAGGTGTAAGCCATTGCACCCAGCCTAAATTCTCCTTTATCATAAATAATCTATGACTACCTCTCACTATCCCATTAGTCCTGGGGTATAATAAATACTCAATAAATAGGCATTAACTGAAGTTTTAAAAGATGAATGAAGCACCAACTAGTTCTTTTTTTTTTTTTTTTTTTTTTTTTGAGACAGAGTCTCAGTCTATCATCCAGGCTAGAGTGGCGCGATCTCAGCTCACTTCAACCTCTGCCCTCCAGGCTCAAGTGATTCTCTCACCTCAGCCTCCCGAGTAGTCGAGATTACAGGCATGCACCACCATGCCCAGCTAATTTTCGTAATTTTAGTAGACAGGGTTTCACCACGTTGGCCAGGCTGGTCTTGAACTCCTGACCTCAAGTGATCTGCCTGCCTCAGCCTCCCAAAGTGCTGGGATTACAGGTGTAAGCCACCATGCCTGGCCGTTTTTTCTAATTTTATTCTCCACTGCTCTATGGACTCCACTTAATAGAAGATCACTCTCAAATTTAGCAAAATTAGCAAATTTAGTGAAATAGAAGATCATTCACAAAATTATTCCTATTAGTTTGCTGGTATGAAATGATAGCAGGTAAATGGGTATGCTACATAAACATATGTGATCCTAAATAATGAATATATACAGATTATAAAATTAGTAATATTTTAAAATTACTAAAAAAGTAAAAAGTTTCTGGGAAGGTATCTAAATTTTCCTACCTTTATTTTTAGTCCTCCATATACAATTTATTGAAAACATCAAAGCTTGCATAGGATAAATTCTAGGACTTTCCTAACTCAATATTCTTACAAAACTATCTGTTAAGAGTTTAACAGAGTTCTGAGAAGCGCAGACAAGATTGAATTCTAATTCATAAACGGGATTATCTACTCAAAATTCAAGTTGATTTCCTTCTAGAAAACAGTGATGTGTTTTCTTTTTTAATATTTAAAAAACTATGTAACACTTCGTAAATTTGTGTGTTGTCCTTGCACAACGGCCATGCTAATATTCTCTATATCATTCCTAATATTATCTATATCATTCCTAATATTCTCTATATCATTCCAATTTTAGTACATTCACAGAGGGAAAGCTCCTAGAACAGGGGAGAAGGCCCTTCAGGGGAATTCTCATGTACTCAGAGGCAGTAGTGTGGGGTAGTAGTTGAAGCACACAGCTCTAGAGTCAGACAGGCTTGGATTTATATCTTGGTTCTGTGACCAGCCTTGAATGATGTTATTAACTTCTCTGAGCAATATTTTTTCTGACTCATTTATAAACTAGGGATGATACTGTATATGAGATAATACATGCTGTGGGCTTAGCACAGTGCGTGATACACAAGTTGCACAAATATTACCTTTGTTATTCTTTTTAGGCTTTTGCTTTTTCACCAGAAAGAAAAAGGACTGCTAGAGGACTTGATTTTTTTCTTAGAGATTGAGAATTGGAGGTTGGCAGAATACAGGAAGATAAGGCAGGGAATGAGAAAGATTCAGGGACACTACCAATCAGAAAACTTTGGTTCTAGTTCAACCTCTGTGCCACAAATTACTGTGATCTTAGGCAAGCAATTTCATTTAGTTTTTCTGGGCTTCAGTTTTTACTCTGTAGAATGGAGGGGTGGGAATATGTTAAACACCATAATTCATTCACTGAATGTCATTATATGCAAGGCATTTTGTTAGGTTCTGTAGGATATATAAAGATTCCTTACTCCATTTTGGGGCTCCATTTTCTAAGTCCTGGGCCCAGTAAAATAGAATTAGATAGTCTCATAGTATTTGGTTCAGGTCTGCAAGTATTAATTGATCCAACTATGGACCTGGCATGGGAGAGGGTACAAGAGAAATTGGAGATATGATCCTGGACCTAAAAGAGCTTGCACATTCAAAGAATCAAAGCACTGAGATGAAGGACAAGCATCCCAACAAGTGGAGTTGAAAGCCTGGGGAGCTGCAGGAGAGACAGAGAAGACAGCTCTGTTTGCATATTGTCTTTCTTCCCACCAGCCTGTGCTGTGGGATCTGCCCAGAGGAAAAGAGTGTTTGGGCCCTGTAGATTTCAGGTGCAGGTAACAGGTGAGGACATATGGGTGGGCTGGGTGACAGCCATGGCCAGAGGTCCCTGCCCTGGTGAGGCCATGCCCACCATGACCTCCTATTCACAGGCATACCTGCATATGCCCCCAGAAACTCTCCAGCAGCTGGTGCTTTTCAGTAGAGAGGGAGAATGCACAGGCTTCCTGACACTCATGCTGCAGGGGAAGCTGCAGGTGAGCATAGAGAAAGAGGGGAGCAAGGGCACCTGGTGCCTAGTGTTCAGAGGGCTTGCCTTAGGGTGGGGAGGAGGAACTCCAGAGAGGAAATGTGGCAGGGATAATGAGCATCTCCAGAGGCAGAATCCATTCCTGTGCCCCCACAGGTACCACCATCCGAGGAGCAGGCCCTGGGTCGCCTGACAGCCCTGGTTGCCCAGCGATACCCGCGCCTCACCTCCCAGCTCTTCATTGACCTGTCACCACTCATCCCTTTCTTGGCTGTCTCTGACCTGATGCGCTCTACCATCCCTGCAGCTAGTCAACGAGAGTGTATATGTTCCTGCACCACTCCTCCTGCTCCTGTAAGGGTTTGGGGCCAACCCCTATCCAGCTGGAGCAGCTCCTTCTGGAGGTCCTGTGTTTTTCTTTCATGCCAGATAGGTAATGTGCCAACATCATAACAAGGTTTGAGAGAGGCGCATCTCATACCCGGAGCCGTGAAACCCAGTCATGATGCTAATGAACTACAAAAGGATCAGAGAGGTCCTCTGAGAAAACCAGGGAGAGGCCGGGCGTGGTGGCTCACCTGTAATCCCAGCACTTTGGGAGGCCGAGGCAGGCAGATCACTAGTTCAGGAAAGCCTCTGGCCACGCTGGAAACCTTGTCTCTACTAAAATACAAAATTAGCCAGGCCTGGTGGTGGGCGCCTGTAGTCCCAGCTACTTGGGAGGCTGAGGCAGGAGGATAACTTGAACCTGGGAGGCAGAGGTTGCAGTGAGCCAAGATCGCGCCACTGCACTCCAGCCTGGGCAACAAGAGCGAGACTCATCTAACAAAAACAAAACAAAAACAGAGAGAGTCTCCTTCCTATCTAGACAACAGGGCTACAGAGGGTCAGGGAAAACAGTTTGAAGAAGACAAGGTTAAGACTCATTACCCTCGCAGCCTGGCTGCCATCCGGATTACAGCCCCAGGAATGAGGCTCAACAGAAGATACTGGCAAAGTGTCTGCTGGCCCCTGAACTGTTTGGGGAAGTGCCTGCCCGGGCCCTGTGAGCTGCTGGGGGCAGTGCTGCCCCTCCTCCCCACCTCCTCTGGAGAACTTTCTGCAGCTCAGCCTCACCAGGTATGAGAATCATCATCTTTATTTGACTGGCCCATCTTCTGCTAGTGGGGACGAGAGTCAATGGTGTGTGTCTCAGTGGCCCCTCCCTGCAAGAACCTCACAGTGACCCCAGTGCGAGCTAACCTTCCCCATCTCAGATCCTAGCCCTGGAGGACAGCTGGCCAGCAGCAGGTCTGGGTCCGGGCATGCTGCTATATACTGCGTGAGCCTGGTAAACCAGAGTGTCCAGGATGGAGAGCAGGTACGCAGGTGAGTTGTGGGATCAGTAACCAAGGCCAGAGTGGAATAGGTAGAGAGAGGAAGATCAGCAGGTGTCATGGTGGGTAGGTGTTCTAGGAAGGAAGGGGCAAGGTAGCAGGCAGTACCAGGCAGCACAGAGTTCCAGGAGAGGTCTATAGATGGTGCCTCTGTAGTGGGGTGTAGTGGTCAGAGGCCCAGTGTATGTACCCACACGGTCTGCTGGCCAGGCCTGCCTTAGTGCTAGTCTCAGAGACCACACAAAGGTCAGCTTCATGCCCTCCTCAGGCTTGGGCCCTGCCTGTTTCCTGAGCCCTGAGGAGCTGCAGAGCCTAGTGCCCCTGGGTGATCTGATGTCGTAGAATTGGGGGCTGCTGGAATGTGCAGCCAACGTGGACCTCAGCCTGGAAGGACGGGTGAGCCAGCACAAGCCTGAAGACTCTAGGCTTCCCCTGGTCTGTGTGGATGGCTTCCATTGTGTCAACTTGAGCACAGCAGGTGCCAGCCCCCATCCCGCTTTTGCAACCTCCATTCCTACTGCATGGCCATTTTACCTGTTACCACCTTCCTGGTCCATCCTGGTCTTCCTGGCCCTTCCCTATCTGGTCTGTGGCACCCCAACACACTTTGCCATTTGAACCTAATCTACTCCAGTCCAATCCCTAGTTCCAAACCCCAGCCTGCCCTGAGAAATTCAGATGTGGGATTAGAGAGTAGTTCACGTTCATCTGTCTTTTCTCTCCAGTCCTAAACCTCTTTGGTTACAGGTATATGAACTTCTGGGGGAAGCTGGGCGCCATCTGGAGGTGCGGTGCTGAGCCCCGGGAGCTGCAGGTCTGGGCCCCGCTCTTCCTCAGCTGGGCCTCCGCCTCCTGCAGGAGCTGTCAGAGCCCCAGCTTAGAGCCATGCTTCCTGCCCTCAGGGGAGCCGGGTGTTACACTCTGCTCAGGTTTGCCTCTCACTCCCCTGGCATGCACCCTCCATCCCTGCTTGAGTTCTGTCAAGAGAATCCCATTCAGGGATAAAACCAGGCTCCTCTTTCTGGGTGAACAATAGAGGTAAACTCTGTCCACACGAGGACACCTTCATTCCCTTTCCTCAGATCAAGAAGGGACCTGAGTCACTGAGGATGGTTACTGGGGATGTTTAAGAGGAAATGGGAAGTTTTGGAGGGTTTGCCCAGGAACCCACTTTTAGGACCTGGCTGCTGGGTCCTGAGAGCTGTTGTTTTGGTCCCATCCCAACACAGGCTGTCCTGCTGCTTGACGGCTCCTTCCTAGGCACGATGTGAGTAACAGCAACCTCAGCCTCTCGCCAGAGGTCTCTATCCTTCTGCGTTTGCATCTGTCCCTCCTCTCTCCACTCACCTCATACTATTGCCTTACATTGTGATTGTTGTCTCTCCTCACCACCCTTCTTCCCTTCCTCTTTCAGGCTCTTTTGTTTCTCTTGCTCCTTAGCTATCCCTGGAGTGAACTCTGCTCCTTGCATCTTCTGTTGCCCGCCTCAGCCCCCCAGACACTCCAGGTCATCCTCAGGGCAAATCCTGGTTGGGGCTTGTTCTGCCTGGCCCCTGAACTGTCACGCCTCAGCCTGCTGTGACCGCAGCACTGCTGCAGACCTTTCGGGTATGAGAGTAGCAAAGAGGATGAGACAATCAGGATACGGGTTTCTGGTTGGGAGGAAGGCGTCTTCCTGAGGCCAGGGAAGGCCTTTCACCTCCCCACTCTACACACACACACACACACACACACACACACACACACACACACACACAATTCTCATACAGGTTAAAGATGGCGTTAAAAATATGGGTACAACAGGTGCTGGTCCAGCTGTGTGTGTCCTTGGTCAGTAAGTGTGAGATCTCCCAGCTGAGCTCCTCTCCCATTCTGGGGCAGTTTCGTATGGCTGGTGCTGCTCTCTCTCATTACCCTGCAGTGGCCCTGAGAGTTCTGGTTAGCTCTGTACCCATTAGCAGCCCTCCCCAGTTCCAGATGCAGGACAGCATGATCCACCCACATTGTCCTAGACTAATGTCAAAGCCGGGAGGGCCTGGGAAATCTTCCAGGCCACTCCACCCCTGCTTTCAGCTGAAAAGACCAAGGCTCAGAGAAGCATGGACTTGTTCGCCTTGTGCCTAACTGGCAGCAACACCTGACCACAGCAGCCTGCAGTGTGAGGCTCTTAGGCGCTATTGCCATGTGGCAAATGCTATCTCCACTCTCTGTCCCAGCTTTGGTCCTTCACCCCCATGGTTTCTTTTCTCTGAGTGCCAAGTCCAGACTCTCACCTATCACTACTGCTGAGGCCCATTGCTGCCAGCAGCTCCTGTTCCCACCACCTGGCCAGACTGCCTGCTTCCCCTGCTCCCATTAAGTTGTTACAACTCCAGCGAGCTTGCCTCGGAAGTGCTGAGACCTTAGGCCCTTTGGTTGATTCTGGGGATAGAGAGGCACACGACAGATCCCCCTCCAGATCCTGCTGTCCCATCTCAGTCAGCTGCAAGGTTTCTGCCTAGGAGAGACATTTGCCACAGAGCTGGGATGGCTGCTATTGCAGGAGTCTGTTCTTGGGTATGGACCTTTGAGAACTTCAGATTCTAACTCATTCTGTACCCAATCCCTCAACCACCATCATCAGTGGCAGCCTGTTCTATATTCTTAAGGTCCCTTGGAGCCCTGTGTCCCAAATCCTAGCATGTCCTCTTTTCCCCTTCCTTTTCCTCACAGTTTCCTCAGCTCCCCAGCCCCTGATTTTCTTCCTGTCCCCAGGAAACCAGAGTTGTGGAGCCAGGATGAAGTAGAGCAAGCTGGACGCCTAGTGTTCACTCTGTCTACTGAGGCAATTTCCTTGATCCCCAGGGTGAGATGAAGGAAGAAGGGAAGGGAGTAAATGCATAGAGGGGACTGGTGAGCTGGTTATGGGGACCCATGGCCAAAGAGGGCAAAGGATATGAAGCCTAGATCTGGGGGAGACTGCGAAACAGAGACAGGACTTTGGAATTACAGCTACAGCAGCAGGCCCTGATCTGTCCAGATCTCCCTACTCTCCTTCTACCTTCTCATGCAGGAGGCCTTGGGTCCAGAGACCCTGGAGCGGCTTCTAGAAAAGCAGCAGAGCTGGGAGCAGAGCAGAGTTGGACAGCTGTGTAGGGGGCCACAGCTGGCTGCCAAGAAAGCAGCCCTGGTAGCAGGGGTTGTACGACCAGCTGCTGAGGATCTTCCAGGTGAAACTACCCAAATACTCATATGTCCAGCAGGATGTACAGGGAGTATCAATTAGTTTGGGTTCTGCATATGCTTTTCTCTGGGACTGGTTTTCTAATTATAAAGAAGAGGTTAGAGGGATGATCTTCAAGTCTCTTCTAGTTCTAGAATTCTATAGCTTTGGGAGTTTGTAAACTATTAAGTTTTCTTTTAGCCCAGAATTTCCGTTTTCCTGCTCTCTTCTCTCTTTAAATAGCTTATTCAGCTCTAGCTCGGCTAAGTGTGGAGCTCTCTGCTGGGGAGATCCCTAGCAGCTTTGAAGGAGACATTGTGAGGCTCAAGAACTGGGTTCAAATTCAACTCTGCCATTAAATCCCTGACCAACATCCTCAGTCTTTCATCTATAAAAGAAGGGACTTGGCATCTCCAATCATGTCTTGTTCTATTAACTTCTAAGCCCTATACATCTTACCTTGTAATAATCCTTCGGTCCCTACTTGCCACAGTGCTCCATCCTCCAAAGGTTGGAAGAGTCATTCCATCTACAGATATCTCTGGGCATATTTTATTACCATACTGACCTCCTGACCCTGTCTTCCCCCTTCAGAACCTGTGCCAAATTGTGCAGATGTACGAGGGACATTCCCAGCAGCCTGGTCTGCAACCCAGATTGCAGAGATGGAGCTCTCAGACTTTGAGGACTGCCTGACACTATTTGCAGGGGACCCAGGACTTGGGCCTGAGGAACTGCGGGCAGCCATGGGCAAAGCAAAACAGGTTAGTGATGGAGAGTCAACTGGGGTTGGCCATGAGGAAGCTGTTTGGGTGTGATGTGGGACACAAAGAGAATGGACAGTTGGATGAGAGGTAGGGGAAGCAGGAGATAAAAGAATTAGAAGATTTGGGTCACAAGTAGGAGGTGAGTGGGGATAAATATTGAGGAAAGAGAGCTAGTATAATGAATAGAGGTACTAAAGCAGTGGTTACCAAATTTTAATGTGTATCGGAATCATCAAGGGAACAGATCTTTTTCTTTATTCTTTTTTTCTTTCTTTCTTAAAAAAATAATGGCATGCTTCGGCCAGGCGCGGTAGCTCATGCCTGTAATCCCAGCACTTTGGGAGGCTGAGGTGGGCGGATAATGAGGTGAGGAGATCAAGACCATGATGTCTAACACGGTGAAACCCCATCTCCACTAAAATTACAAAAAAGTTAGCCAGATGTGGTGGCGGGCACCTGTAGCCCAGCTACTTGGGAGGCTGAGGCAGGAGAATGGGGTGAACCCGGGAGGTGGAGCTTGCAGTGAGGCAAGGTCAAGAAAGCACTCTATCCTGGGCGACAGAGCGAGACTCCACCTCGAAAAAAATAAAAATAAAAATAAATAAATAAATAAACAAAATAATAATAATGGCATGCTTCATGAATTTGCGTGTTATCCTTGCATAGGCGCTGTGCTAATCTTTGTATCATTCCAATGTTTTTATGTGTATGTACTGCTGAACCGAGCACAGGAACAATGCCAGTGCCGATTACCATGCTAGACTGACTGAATAAAAACCTTTGGGGAGGCTGGATGCAGTGACTCACGCCTGTAATCCCAGCACTTTGGGAGGCTGAGGCAGGTTCAAGATTGCTTGAACCCAGGGGTTTGAGACCAGACTGAGCAACATGGTGAAACCCTGTCTCCACTAAAAATAGAAAAAAAATTAGCTGGGTGTGGTGGCACATGCCTGAAATCTCAGCTCCTCGGGAGGCTGGGGTAGGAGAATCCTCTGAGCCCAGGAGGTGGAGGGTGCAATGAGCCAAAATCGCACCACTGCACTCCAGCCTGGGTGTCAAAATAAGACCCTGTCTCATAGATAAAAAAATAAGCCTCTGGGGGAAGGAGTCCAGACATCCGCATCTGCCTTTGTTTTTTTTGTTTTGTTTTGTTTTGTTTTGTTTTGTTTTTTGAGACAGAGTCTTACTCTGTCACCCAGCAACCAGGCTGGAGTGCAGTGGTGTGATCTTGGCTCACTGTAACCTCTACATCCTGGGCTCAAGCGATCCTCCTGCCTCAGCCTCTCAAGTAGCTGGGACTACAGGTGCACACCACCATACCTGGCTAACTTTTGTATTTTTGGTAGAGATGGGGTTTTGCTATGTTGCCAGGATGGTCTTGAACTCCTGGGCTCAAGCAATCCTCCCACCTCAGCCTCCCAAAGTGCTGGGATTACAGCTGTGAGCCACTGTGCTGGGCCTCAGGCATCTGTGTTTTAATAAGTGTCTCTGTGTTTGATGCACATAAAAGTGTAGAACTCATGGACTAGAGTTAGTTTGCTCTTCTTTTCCACTGACTGTAATGTCTTTCAAAACACGTTAGAGGAACTGTAAGGCAACTGTCTTATTTGACAGTGGAGGAAACTAAAGAAAAGGCAGGTGACTTGCCTAGAGTTATACAGCTAAGGGCAGAGGCAAGACTTAAAACCCAGCATTCTGACTCCCAATCCACTGCTTTTCCACTCACATTGTTCCTCTCTTTCTCCTAGTTGTGGGGTCCCCCCCGGGGATTTCGTCCTGAGCAGATCCTGCAGCTCGGTCGGCTCTTAATAGGTCTAGGAGATCGGGAACTACAGGAGCTGATCCTAGTGGACTGGGGAGTGCTGAGCACCCTGGGGCAGATAGATGGCTGGAGCTCCACTCAGGTAACACCTTTCCTCCTCCCTACCACTTCCCAAACACCCATCCCACAGACCCAGCCCTGTAGATCATCTAAAGCCCAAGGAATTTTTTCCTGTGACCCTACCTGGTCATTCTTTCTATCTTTTGTTGATACCCCCTACTATTGACCTTCAAGACTCTGATTTATTCACTCTGAGGCCCTGAACACATAATACTGTCTCCTACCTCTTTTCCTGGAGCCTCCTCTTTTTCTATCCTTTTCTTTTCTGAGTCCTCAGCCTTCCCCGTGACTCTTTAGGTCTTAATAGTAACAGAATGTAACCCAGCAACACCTACCATTTCCCTGTCCAGTCATTCTCCATAACTTTTCTCCTTCCCCTCTGCCCCCAACCCCCACCCCAGATCCGTGTTGTGGTCTCCAGTTTCCTATGGCAGAGTGGTCGGCATGTGAGCCACCTGGACTTCATTCATCTGACAGCGCTGGGTTATACGCTCTGTGGACTGCGGCCAGAGGAGCTCCAGCACATCAGCAGTTGGGAGTTTAGGTCACTTGTGAAGGGGCTGAGGGTGGTGGTGCTGAGGTAAAGGTGGACTTACTGGGGAAAGAAGGATCGTGAATGTCTGGTCCCATGGAGGAAGGGAACTCATCTGAAGCCATCTCTTCCTTTGTCTCATGACCACAGCCCCTTTTGCTGAAGCTGAATTCTTCTTCCTTCCTTCCCACTGTTCTACAGCCAAGCAGCTCTCTTCCTGGGCACCCTACATCTCCAGTGCTCTGAAGAACAACTGGAGGTTCTGGCCCACCTCCTTGTACTGCCTGGTGGCTTTGGCCCAATCAGTAACTGGGGGCCTGAGATCTTCACTGAAATTGGCACCATAGCAGGTGGGGAGCTGGGCTACTGCTGGTGCAAGTTGGTTTGGTTTCTATACCATGGGTGGACTGGATGGAAGACTGTCCTGCAGTTCTTACGGTGGGGACCTGAGAGGGTGTTTAAATAAGGGGCTAGAGACATACTGGGGAAGGTCTACGGTAGGGCACTTTGGGAGTAGTTAGAGAAGGTCTATCTGTTTGAAGAGAAGGAAGGTGAGTCTAAGACAATGTTTGGATGCCACTTGCTTCAACAGCTGGGATCCCAGACCTGGCTCTTTCAGCACTGCTGCGGGGACAGATCCAGGGCCTTACTCCTCTTGCCATTTCTGTCATCCCTCCTCCTAAATTTGCTGTAAGTATTAATGGACTGGGGTGACCACAGGAGAGCCAGGGCCCAACTGGCATGCACTGATTCCTACCCCTGCCCCCAGGTGGTGTTTAGTCCCACCCAACTATCTAGTCTCACCAGTGCTCAGGCTGTGGCTGTCACTCCTGAGCAAATGGCCTGAGTCCTGAGCAGCGACGAGCAGTTGCATGGGCCCAGCATGAGGGGAAGGAGAGCCCAGAACAGCAAGGTGAGTTCCCAGCTGCACAGCTTGAGCCTCCATCATCTCCTGACCCAGAATCAAACCCCTAATCTGGTGCTGTCTGGCTCTTAGAGTGCACCCAGGGAGATCCCTGGAGTGAAGGAGTCTATAGGCAGAGCGCTAATTTCCAAGTATCAATGCTCCTGGAGAGCAGAGTTGTGATATGACTCCCATTCCCTGTCTATTATAGGTCGAAGTACAGCCTGGGGCCTCCAGGACTGGTCACGACCTTCCTGGTCCCTGGTATTGACTATCAGCTTTCTTGGCCACCTGCTCTGAGCCTGTCTCTACAGTAGAAGGAGATTGTGGGGAGAGAAATCTTAAGTCATAATGAATAAAGTGCAAACAGAAGTGCATCCTGATTATTTTCAGAAGCTGATGAGGAATATGGGTAAAATGTTAATGCTTTCCACCCACCTGAGAATCAGTGTTCCCAGGATGCCATATCTGGAGTCTCTTTCCATCATAAATAATCCCACTGCCTCTTTTCATTTCCTGAAGCCTGCTCCCCTCCTCACCCCACCATTAGAAATAACATAGACAGCTGCAGCATAGCAAGGAGTCTTTACTAGGATGGAGGCAGGGGATGCGGGGGCAGGTCCAGAGCAAGTAGAATGGGCCATCATTAGAATGAGCAGAACTCCTGGGAATCTTGAGTCATCAGCTGGTGGTGGGGAGTTAATGCTTGGTGTGGATGACAGGTGTGGGGATGCGGATATCCTGGCCTCTCTCCAGACGCCGTTCACAATCAATCAAATAGTTTACTCCATCGATGACCAGCTGCACAAGCTCCACCTGAAGGACACTAATCTTTGATCTCTGCTTCCTACAATCTGAGCTTTTCTTTAGCACTGACTGACTTGCCTGCTGATTTCCAGTTGCCTCCCTACTCGACCTGAATTTCATTTCAGATTATGTTACATCCCGGAGGCTCACTCACTGCCATATTTCAGCCCCCACAGACCTATAGCTCTCCTCACCCTAATCCCTTAGGATCTCACCTCTGATTTGCCTAGTCGGTCCAAATTAGAAATATCAAAGACACCGCCTGTGGCAGCAGTGTCCACTCCTCCAGTACCACGCTTTTGGAGTCTTAGGTTCTCCAGAATTTTTGGGAAGCGGCTATCCTAGAGAGGAGATAGGGATTGGGAGCACAGTTGATAGAGGCAGAGATTAGTCCTATCTGAAAGAGCCCTGAACCTGCTCAGAGCTCTGTTTCCTGGCTTTTTTTTTTTTTTTTTCCAGACAGGATCTCTCTCTGTCACCCAGGCTGGAGTGATCACAGGTCACTGAAGCCTCAACTTTCCAGGCTTAAGTGATCCTCTCACCTCAGCCTCCATTACACCCAGCTAACTTTTGCATTTGTAGTAGAGATGGGGTTTCGCCAGGTTGCGCATGCTGGTCTTGAACTCCTGGGCTCAGGTAATCGGCCCGCCTTGGCCTCCCGAGTGCTGGGATTACAGGCATGAGCCGCTGTGCCTGGTCTGTCCCCTGACCCTTTAGCTACAACATATTTGGCTCCTTTTCAAAGGGTCCACTCCCTCCCCATCCACAACGCACCCTTCCTTACTCACACCCCTCTGTAACCCCACAACTCCTTTACTTTGCTTAGCAGGGGCAGTTTGATGTGCACTCCTGCCCGAAGTCCAGTGCCCAGGTTAGATGGACAGGTCAAGATGTATCCCAAACGCTCATTCCACATGAACTCCCAGCCACGTTCTTGGATAAGTCGCTCCACCTGAGTCCACAAAAGTTTTGTTAATGAAAAATCAGGGATATTTCATTAACCCTGGACCCTCCCTTAGCTAGACACACAAGAACACTAGAAATATGTCTAGAACAGAAACTTGGCTGTGAATGGATGACACTGGTCTTTTTTTATGAAAATGGCTTGTTATTGTTTTCATGCATGCATGATGCAAAATTATGATGTGCATAATAATGAGATTGTGAAATAATATGTGGAAGAAGAAAACTCGAAGGAGTGGTGTATTAGGGATGATCTAGGGAAATGAACAGAGGTGGTAAACTGAACTGAGAGAGGACTGATTATTCAATGAGTTCTGCATGCATCAATTATCTTTGCTTTGCTAATGAGCCTAGAGCTTGGAAGGGTCCTTTCAGACAGAAGATGAAGGTGTAAGCTTTGCCAGGAAGAGGTAAGATAACGTTCTGTTAGCTGTGAACGGAGCACCTGTGTCAATGCAGAGAAAGATGAAAACAGAGCAGAAAAGCCAGATTCATAGGAATAGGGGCAGGGGGAAGGCGTTTTGCTTCACTTAACCACGTAGTCATGAAGATGACTATTAGATTGAAGAGACAAGGGATCTACCAGAGTGACGGTCACAAAGACCACTACCCAACGTGAGTAACAGGATCCTGTTTATAGTTCAGAAGGAACCATGGCATAGGGCGTATCTTACATGCTGAACATGGGGGAAGCCCTTCCATCTAGAATAATAGTGCAGCTAACACTTTAACACTTATTAAGCACTTACTTTGGACCAAGTACTTTACCTGTATTTCATTTAATCCCCACAACAACCTAAAATGTAGAAAATCTCATTATCCCAATTTATAGACGAGGAAACTGAGGCATATAATTTAAAGGTACTTCCCGACCCACTCATAGTCAGAATATATTATCTATTACTTGCCTAAAATAGTAGAAACTTCTCAGAATCTAAAAGAGGAGCCCTTTTTCTTTGCAAACCTAAAATAGAACTGTATGTTTGAGAACATACAGTAAGATTGAATTGAGTTTATGGGATTTCTAATGTAGACTTGAATATGGAGACCCAGTCTATGTAGGATTGATGATTCAGTTCAACCTCTCATGTAGAGCCATATTCTAGAACTCGAACCATTCTATCCACCTTCCCCAGTCTCCCTCCCAACTCTCAACTTAAAGCCTCGACCTGATACTTTAACAAGAATGATATAACCCAGTCAAGGCCTACCTTGGCTCAGAACTGGGTGGTTATATTGGAGTCATGAACACAGCAACCTCTCCCTGCCAACATCAATCTAAGCTCAAATGTTTTCCTTTTCTGCATACCTCACCATTCCACTGCACACATCCCAGGCACTGACCTGACGTCTCAGTTATTCCTTTCTTGCATTATCCGGCAACTGCCTTATTCACTTCCTAAGGTTCCTGACACTCTTTCTTTTCCTAATCTTAGGGTGACCACATGTCCTGGTTTTCCCAGTATGGTCCCAGCTGGTTTATACCTTTATTCCTAGAGTGAGTCCTAGATAGTCCTTTTTACTATTAGACATGTCCTGGGTGGGTTGATAAATTACATGATCTATTTATGCTACTCTTTGGTTTTCCTTATGTCCTCCCACCTAGTTCCCCTACACAATCTTTTCCAACCTCTTTGAGGCCTCGGCAGAATCTTTCAAACACTCTCTTCATGTTGCCACCCTTCTCCATGGAGATGACCCGTGTATGATCCTCCTCATTCACCCAGATCAGGAAGCTCTTCTCGTTGTTGTGCCTGAGGGCAGGAGAGGGACAGTGTTCAAGAGGCAAGGCAAGAATTGGGAGAGATAGAGGGGAAAAAAAGCATTTATGAAGGCATGAAGACAAAAGAGGTAAGGAGCAGCCTCATACCAAATTCCACGAGCATCTGGCCAGTCTCGAGCCATTCCTGCTGCAGTCAGCAATGGGGACACAGGCTTATCAAACAGAAAGTGGTCCTGGGAAGAGTAATGGGACTTGGGTTAAGAATCTTCATGGTGGCCCCTGGGCCTCTCAGAGCCCATGTCTCATCTGGTGCAGCCTTCCCTCTGGCTCTTTTTTCCATCTGCTCCCACCAACCAGCGCCCTCTTAAGACCCTCACATCAATCAGCTGCTGCTGTTCAGCCTCTGTCATCTCACTGAGCCTATAGTAACGTCCAGCCAGGTCACCCTTCAGGCCACTCAGTGCATCCACCACAACACGTTCCACCTCCCGTCGCTCTGCTCGAGTGCAAGCTGGAGGCAGACTGAGTCCTCGGATGCTTCGGCCAGTTCTGACTCTAGAGGACAATACATACCTCTCATCAAAGTAGCCAGAACGGATCTGGGAGATAAGGGAAATGAATATAAGTCACAGAAACACGGTGGGAACTGAGGGCCCCTGGGAAAGGAGAGATCTTCCTTAGGCATTAGAGGACTCTTTGTGCATTCTACTTGCGTGCATTGGAAGAAGAGGCCGGTTGGGAAAGCACTCCAATTGAAGGGGGCATTGCAGACCCTTCCCCAAACCGCCCACCTCGGGCCATAGTCATTCTTATCTATCCTTTCATCTCCATATATGCTGCCCCTTAAGATATGATTCTTTCCTTACATTAAGATTAAAAGCTCAGCAGTGTAATGACCATGAGTCAGGAAATAAGCTGAAGGGATGGGAGATACAGTGTTGTACACAAGCAATGCAGATCAGAAGTGGGATATTTGAACTCACTTTACTGGCATCCAGATCCGTGGTGTGCTTCATTGTCCGGGGGTCATATCCATTGTGTCGCTCTTGGATCACAGGATCAAACAGGTCAGCAAATACCTAAGGGGAGTTAAGAGGGAGAGATGGTTAAGGAGAGGGAATCCCTCCCCAGACTTCAACTGTGCATTGATTTCACTGGGTCAGAACACTTAAGAATGGGGGGGTTCAGAGTCTTGGGGGAAAGTGAGAGGTCTTTAGGGGGAAGGAGCTGGGATGACTGGGAAGATGAGTTGGATCATCAGGGAGACTCTGGGGACCCCCTACCTCATAGGTCTCCTCATCTCCAGCCACCATGCCCACAGTCTTGATGAAGGGGTGGCCAGGGTTGTCCACGCCAGTCTGGATACACTGATCTAACGTCCAACCAGTGGGTGTGGTCTTGTCGCAGAGCCGTGCATAGACTGCTGGGGTCAGGTGACTGGCCATGCAGTTGTTGTGCTTTCGGAGGTCTGGGTACTCAGCGCTGGGGAGGGGGTACCCAATGACCATGGAGGGAGGGCACAGACCCTAGACCTAATGCAGTTACCTGGGAGCTGTCCAGTTGGCCATGTCTGGCTTTGCTCCGTGGGAGGAGGGGAAATTAGAAAGAGGCTAAACCTTGGTAATCTCTTTAGGGACTTTCAGAGTCTATGCTTTTCTAGTAGTTCTAGTTGCCTCTGGCTGGCCAACTCAGTTTCTCCAGAACTGCTCAGTTCTTTCCTCCCATGACACAACACTAGGGATGGAGGAGGGGAAAAGCCTCAAGGACAGGAATTGAGGAAACGAGGGAAGGAGATGGAGGGGAGTGAAAAGGATAGTTCCCGGCTTTATAATTAGGGATTCGGGCAGCGAGTGCAGCTAGAACTCGTAGGGCCAGAGGTGGTCTTGGCAGGTCCCCAGGAATGTTCTTGCTTCATGGTTTTGGCCCCTACCCCCACCCCACTGAGGTCTGCAGACTGTACAGCCCTCCAGCTCCAGGGCCTTCGTGATTATAGCCCTTTTCTGTTGCCCAGATTCTCATTTCTACCCGCACCTTCAATCACCACCTGCCCCCGCCTCCTCCCGCGCCTCAGGCACTGTTACCTCGGGGGATACAGCCTCCTTCGTTCACTGGCTGCTCGTACAGGTTCCGGTCGGAGCAGAAACCCAGCGGCTAGAGACCCCGCTCCGGC